AAATGTCAACTAGATTATATTGGTTGTTGGTGGTACTGAGTTCTTTTGTATTCTTTCTGATTTTTTTCTTCTGTCAATTGTTGAGAGAGGGGCGTTGAAGTCTCTAATTATAACTAATTTTGTTTACTTGCCTTTTCAGTACTATTAGTTTTTGCTTCACATATTTTTCAGTTCTGTTATTTGATATGTGCTCATGTAGGATTGCTATGTCTTTTTGGTGAGACAGCATGTTTATAATTATTTTATGTCTGTCTCTGGTAATTTTATTTGCCCCAAAGTCTACTTTATCTGATATTAATGTAGCCACAGCTGGTTTCCTTTGATTACTGTTTGCATGATATATCTTTTTTTATTGTTCTAATTTCAACTTGCCTGTATTCTTCTGTTTGAAGTGAGTTGTAGACAGCATATAGCTGAGTCATGTTTTTAATCCACTTTGGCAATCTTAGTCTTTTAGTTGTATTTAGATCACTTACACTTAATTATTAATGTTAAGTCTTTAGTCTGCTATTTTATGTTTTCTGTTTCTTCTGTTTTTCACTTCTTGATTTGCTTTTTACTGCCATCCTGTGGCTACCCGAACATTTTTGAGAATTTTATTTGTTTTTGAAAATATCTCTTTGTATAGCTTTTTTAGTGGTTGCTCTAGTTTTTACATTATATGTACGTGACATCACAGTTTACTGGTGTCATCATTCATCAGTTCAGGTGAAGTGTACCATCCTGTGGATACCCGAAAATTTTTGAGAATTTTATTTGTTTTTGAAAATATCTCTTTGTATAGCTTTTTTAGTGGTTGCTCTAGGTTTTACATTATATGTACGTGACATCACAGTTTACTGGTGTCATCATTCATCAGTTCAGGTGAAGTGTAGATAGCTTCCCTCCTTTTATGACTCTACCATCTCTCTCTCTCTCTTTTTTTTTTTTTTTTTTGAGATGGAGTCTCTGTCACGCAGGCTGGAGTGCAGTGGTGTGATCTCAGCTCTCTGCAACCTCTGCTTCTCAGGTTCAAGCAATTATCTTCCTCAGCCTCCCAAGCAACTGGGATTATAGGCACCCACCACCATGCCCAGCTAAGTTTTGTATTTTTAGTAGAGTTGAGGTTTCACCATCTTGGCCAGGCTAGTCTTGAACTCCTGACCTCGTGATCCATCTGCTTTGACCTACCAAAGTGCTGGAATTACAGGTGTGAGCCACCGTGCTCGGCCCACCATCTCCTTTTGATAATTGTCTTAAATATTTTCTTTACCTGCATACATCCAGAACCACATTAGACAATATTATATTTGTTTCAAATGTCAAACATAATTTAGCAAACTTGAGTAGGAAAGCTTATTGTATTTACCCATATCTTTGCTTACTGTGTTTTTTTTTTCCTTTTTGATGTTCCAAGAGCCTGTCTTTTATCATTTCATTTTTATTTAGATAACTTCCTTTAGTCACTCTATGACGTAAGTCTGCTGGTGACAAATTTTCTTAGTTTCCCATCATCTTAGAATATCTTGATTTCCTCTACATTCCTGAAGACTATTTTCACTGGGTTTAGGATTCTGGATTGACAGTTTTTTTCTTTTAGTTCTTGAACAATACTGTGTCTCTTTCATCTGGCATCCATGATTTCTGATGCTGTCAATCACATTTTCTCTCCTATAGGTAAGTCATGAAATTTTCATTGATGCTTTCAACATTTTTGTTTTTAGCTTATACTAGTTCGATTATGATATATTTTGGCATGGATTTCTTTGAGTTTATTTTGTTTGGGGTTTGCTCAGCTACTTGAACCTGTAGGCTTGTTATCCAAATCCTGCCAAATTTGGGAGCTTTTAGTCATTATTTCTTCAAGTATGTTTTTAGCCACACCCTCTCTCTCTTCTCTTTCAGGACTCTGATGACATGGATATTGGATCTTTTGTTATAGTCCAGCAGATCCCTGGAGCTCTGTTCTCTTTTCTTTTTCAGTATGTTTTCTCTGCTATTGGGTAAATTTTACTGTTCTATCTTCCAGTTAGTTCCCTGATTCTTTCCTCTGTTGTTTTCATTCTGCTGTTGAGCCCATCCACTGAGCTTTCTATTTTAGTTATTGTATTTTTCAGTTCTAATATTTCTACTTGGTTTTTTATATCATCTAATTCTTTGGTGAGGCTTTCATTTTTCATTTAAGTATGTTCATAATTGCTTATTGAAGCATTTTTATCATGGCTGCTTTAAAATCACTGCCTGTTAATTCTATCATCTCTGACATCTTGGTTTTGGCATCTGTTGATTATCTTATTTATTTTGACATCTTCCTGATTCTTGGTATGACAAGGGATTTTCAAATGAAAGTTACATATTTTTGTATTATGAGATCTGAATCTTCTGTTTTAATTTGGCTTCTCTGATACTTCCAGAAGAAGGGACAGGTGGTAGATGGGCATCATCTTGTTACCGGTGGAAGTAGAAGTGATGGTTGTCACTTGGCTTCCATTGATACCCAAGTTAGGTGGGGGAGCTCCTTGCTACTGCTATGTAGGGGTGGGGGGCCTAGCTTCCTACATGGTCTCCACTGACACTGTGATGTATGGGAGTGGTCTTGTTGCCACTGGGCAATGGTGAAAGTGTAGAGTCTCCACTAGGCCTGCTCTGACACTGCCCCAGTAGGTAGGGAGTGGTTGTCTTGATACTGCCAGGTGGGGGTACAAATCCAGGCTCCTCATATAGTCTTCACTGACACTGCTGCAGGGAGGGCCTTGCAACTGGTGGGTGGGGATGAAAATCCTGGCTCCTTGCTTGGTCTTCTCTGGTACTACCCCAGTCGAGGTGCTGGGTTACCTGGTTACATCCTTGACGGGGTGGAAGTCTAGGTTCTTCTCTTGACCTTTGCTAGCATTGGTGAGATTGGGGCTGCTGTTTTATTCTGTGGTGTTTACCTAGAATAGAGCTATTATTGTCTAAAAGTTTTCTGTCTTTCTAGGTTGCCTAGTCCTTTTGTAAGAGCAGCTTTATTTGGTGTGGGTCTGTTGCCGAACTGGACTGCTGGCTTCTTCAGTTCCAAGTCTAGGGATTATGAGGCAAAAAGAAAGGAACGTACCACTGTGTTGGTGTTTTTTGGGTCCTGAGGTCCCTAGCTGGTCTGACGTCTTCTCTCCACTTTTCAGTCTTATGCTTGCTTTATATATAATGCCCATGGTTTTTGGTCATACCTAATAAATGAAACAGGGACGACGTCTACTCTCTCATCTCAGAAGTGGCAGGCTTCTCAGTTACTTTTTAATTGCCAGATTGTTGTTCATTTTCATAATATATTTTGAATATGGCTTTCTTTTTTTGAGACTGAGTCTCATTTTGTCGCCCAGGCTGGAGTGCAGTGGTGCAATCTCAGCTCGCTGCAGCCTCTGCCTCCTGGGTTCAAGCAACTCTCCTGCCTTAGCCTCCCGAGGAGCGAGGACTACAGGCGCGTGCCACCATGCCTGGCCAATTTTTGTATTTTTCGTAGAGATGGGGTTTCACCATATTGGCCATGCTGGTCTCGAACTCCTAACCTAAAACAATCCTCCTGCCTCGGCCTCCCAAAGTGCTGGGATTACAGGCGTGAGCCACCGTGCTTGGCTGAATATGACTTTTATTTGCTACCTGACTGCTGGTTTAAATTGTTCACCTTTGCAAATTTTATGTTTCCTGATAGTTTGATATTTAATTTTAGCTACTTGCTGTAGATACTTTTAAAATGTAATCACCCCTAAATCTTTTTTGCACACAACTGCAACTGAAAATCTCTTAGAAGAGGGCCCAATTAGCAGATTTTTAAAAATGCTGAGGTGGGGACTGGGAGGAGGGGGAGGGATAACAGCTGGAGAAATGCCTGATGTAGGCAACGGTGGGGGTGGGATGGAGACAGCAAACCACCATGGCATGTATGTACCTATGCAACAATCCTGCAGGGTGCAGGATGTGCACATGTACCCCAGAGCCCAAATACAATTAAAAAAAGAAAATTATTTGCTTACAATGAAATTTGTAAAAATTAACTCCATGGCAAGCATAGACCATGAAAAGTCCCAAATATACATTACACTTAATTTTTCTCATTTCATTAGAAAACAAAAAACCTCTACAGAAGAGTTAGATTGGTGTGTACATATGGTTCAGGCATATGTACAGGGTTTAGTAATAATGTTTTCTCATAGAATACTAGTACTAGAAAAGTAACTGAACATACATGCAGTAGATGTGTCATCAGTGGTTATAGCAGCTCTTCTTCATTGATGCTGTTGTGTGTTAAATTATTCCCAAATGATTGCTGAAATAACTATAGGGGTTTGAGTGAATCACTTTTGTTTTCCAAAGTTCCTTGCATAAGCATTAGGAAATAAATCCTTATTACTGTTACTTTTTTTGATGCCATGAGGTATGAGAGAATAGGGTCATGTTTGATCTTTCTGGTTACTGTGTTTAAATGACGCTTGAACAGGCTGCTTATGTTAACGTGGGTGGTAGGGGAGGCCATTGTTTAACTCATAGAAGTGATTGGGTTGGGGTATTTTAAAACTGGCACATTTTGGAAAATGTAGGATCTTGTTTCTATCCACAAATTACAATATTTTACTAAATTCAAGTACTTTTCTCCAACTAATTGAGTGTCTGAGAGATGGTCATTTTGAATGAGTGCATCTTTCAACAAAATTCTTAAATGACTTTTTTTTTTTTTTTTTCGGCAAAATCAGAAAACATTTATCTAGAGTAAAAGAGAGTAGAACAAGAATCGGGTGTTGACACTCAGCCTGTGTGTGTGTGTGTGTGTGTGTGTGTGTGGTTTTGAAAGTGATAAATTGTCAACAACTTGCTAGAGATGGAACAAATAGAAATGTTGATTAAAAATGCCTGATAAAACTTATCTGTAAAATACTTTTTTTGCCATACGTTTGTACTGTGTTGAAGGCTAAGAAGTAATTGTAATAAACTTTTTTAGTCTTGCCTTTTAAAAACTGATTGGCATTATCTCAAACTGTAATTCACAGGGTGCTGGTATAGAAATCTACCCTGGGAGTCAGTGCACCCTGAGTGACAATGGGATCCATCACTGCAAGGAAGGGATCCTCATTAAGGTGAGCATCAGCCAAAACACCCGCTTTTCAAAGGATAGAATGGCTTCACCTACAAATTATACTTTATTAAATTGTTGGGTTCTATTTTCTGGTTTTGAAAAGCATAAACAGTATACACATTTCAATAATATGTCAGTGATTGGAATCTCTTGTGAGAATGCTTTGTTACTTATAGATCTGCAGAAATGACAGAGGAAAGCTCTGTCACTAAGGACTCAGACTGCTCACAACATGGGGCTAAGCATAGCTTTATTTTTAGAGTAGTGTGAATAAAGATTTTTAAAGCAGGAAATGTTGAATATGATGGTTTCTTAAAACATTTGTTTTCAATGTCACAGGACTTCTTAGATGAACATTATGACATTCCTAAAATATCCATGGTGAATAATATAATACATAATAATGAAGGTTATGGTGTTGTCTTGGTGAAACCTACAATCTTCTCTGATCTGCAAGAAAATGCTGAAGATGGAACAGAAGGTATGCTATATTTAGTAATTTTTATTTTTTCTTTATTTCTTTTTTTTTTTTTACTTCTTTACCACTGCACTGATAGTAATTTTTTAATATAAAAACATAATTTACTTTATTTTAGCATTAAATGCTGATTAAGTCTCTGAGTCTTCCTCTCTTCCTTAAAAAAGATTATTGGGATATGCTTGGGAGTGGAGAGAGAGAGAAGCTTAACAAAGCCATAACATTATAGAATGTGAAAGAAACTTTCAAGGTCAACTAGTTCAATTGTCATTCATAATCTTGATGTTGTGTCTTCTGTGCAGTTTCCTTCTTATCATGCTTAGCTTTCAGTGAGGGTGGATGTGTGATACGAGCTATGGGTGTGTGATAGCAACAGTGGGTGTGTGATAGCAATAGTGGCTCCTGCTGGCATTTGTTAAGGCTGGAGGCAATGAAATGAACGTGCCAGGTTGAAAGCTGCGTTTCCTGGAGGGGATGGTGGAGTTTACCTCTGTTTTTATTGGTAGAAGTAAATGTCTTCCTGTCACCTGCCTTTCTTGGCAGCAAAGCGGAGCTAACTCAGTGGAAATGTGTGAACTTCAAGCTATGAGGTAGATCACTATTAAGTCTCAGTCATAGAGGAGGATTAAGCATTGACGTAGGTGAGGAAAGTTTAAAGCAGTTTATTTGTTTAATTGGCTTTTTCAGGTTGAAAGAGGAGTTTAAAAGTTAACCTTTGTCATCCCTTCAGGATTTGCTTCAGTTATATCTCTGCAAGTTCTCTATTTCTTCACAGGTCTCACAAAAGTGAAATCAAGGTGTCAGCTGGGCAGGTCTCATCTGAAAGCTCTGGGGCAGAATCTGCCTCCAAATGCATTCATGTCATTCATTGGCAGAATTCATTCCTTTAGCTCCTGAGTCTGAGGTCTCCTTTCTTGCTGGCTGCTGGTTGCTGGCTGGGGCTGGCACTCAGCTCCTAGAGGCTGCTCTCAGGTTCTTGCCTTATAGCCCTCCATCTCAGCAACAGAGAACCTCCCTTAAGGCAAATCTCTCATGCTTTGAATTTCTCTGACTTCCTCTTTTGCAACCAGCTGGAGAAAACTGATTAGCAACCTTAATTACATTGTAAAATTACAGTGCAAAATTCTTCTGCCATTTAATAGCCAATAAAGTAATACTAGGGGGTGGTGATCATGGGGACTATCTGGAATTAGCTACTAGATTGGGACTTATTTAGAAAAGTTGCACTGTCTTACCAGTCTGTGCATCCTAGCTCCTAACACAGTGCTTAGCAGATAGTAAATATCCAGGAAAGTCTGTTGAGTAAAAGTGATTCTGGGACGAAAAGGGTAAACAGTTCAAAACTGATGATCCTGCATGAGGGTCAGGGAACCTTGGCATAGAAAGCAAGGCAGCTGTTCATTGAGATTCTTATGGCAAAGAATTTGTAAAATCCAGTTAGAGGACAGAAGAAATCCTTTGCCAAAAAAACTTGAAAGCTCTAACAGACTGTGTAGAAATACATGTTTTAGGTGGGTTAGCTTATATATTTAACTATGTTATTATGTGTTTGTTTCTCCAGAAGATAAAGCACTTAAAATTCAGACAAGTGGAGAGCCAGATGTGGCTGAAAGAGTGGATCTAGAAGAGCTGATTCAGTGTGCAACTGGCAAAATGGAGCTTTATGCAAGAACTGACCCTTCTGAGCAAGTTGAGGGAAATTGTAAAATGGAAAAGAAACAAATGCCCCCCCCAAAAAAAAAAACCAAAAGAAAAAAGAAAAGGTTGAGTGAACTGGGGATCACACAGGCTGATGACAACTTAATGTCACAGGAGATGTTTGTTGGGATTGTGGGGAACCAGTTCAAGTGGAATGGGAAAGGTAGTTTTGGAACATTTCTCTTCTGACCACCATAATGTAAGTAGATAGCAAAATACTCGATTTTGCACGTGCTGCCCTAAGAATCACTGCTGCCATTGTAGTTTGCTTTATGTCTGTATTTTATATTTGATTATTTGGGCCTGAGTGAAAGGTAGATTTATTTCCATTTGCAGGTGTTGCACATAAAACACTCCCTCTTTATAAGAAAGATCATAAACACATATAAAATAGAAAATATTTGGAGATTTCTTATCTGAAAGCCTTGCATTCTTAAACACATAGTTCTCTCATATTAAGGGTAATTACCCTTTTTAGTGTAATTACCCTTTAGCATTTCAAAGAGGTGGAAGAAAGGAAGGGAATGCAAGACTAGTGCATAAACATGCAATAGATATCACATGCACAGCTTTCTTAGAGCTGTGTCTTTTCATCCCAGTTATAGTGTTTGATTTCCGTGCTGTATTTGTCTTAAAATAAAAGCTTTTATGATTGGGAAGTTATCTGCCTGATCATACGTATCATTGAGACTCAATAGGGTGCATTTTTCTGTTGAGCTATGCAGTCATCAAAACAGTGATAGTCAGGTGGTTTGAGACAGAAATGAAATGTGTTATTTAGAGCTGATGTTGTACATAGAGCATTTTCACTATTGTTGATTGTGAATGATTAAAAGAAGGTACCTTTCAGGCTGGGCGGTGGCTTAACTTGTAACCCCAGCACTTTGGGAGGGTGAGGCAGGAGGATCACTTGAGCCCAGGAATTCAAGACCAGCCTGGGCAACATAGCGAGACCCCATCTCTACTAAAAATAAATAAAAAAAAAAATTAGCCAGGTGTGGTGGTGCAGGCATGTAGTTCCAGCTACTCAGGAGGTTGAGACTGCAGTGAGCTGTGATTGCACCACCACATTCCAGTCTGGATGACAGAGCAAGACCCTGTCTCAAAAAAAATATTTTTCTCTTACTGTTACAGTATTCTGATTATATTTCTGACACATAAGAGATGTTTGAAATCAAGAGGTTCATAATCAATAGCTTAAAAACAAACCTATATCAGATGTGTGTTCTTGTTATCATGTTGTAAAACACAGCTTCTAAAAATATTTATATTTTAAAAACCGTATGTGATATTAATATGCCTAATGATTAAAATTATAGTGATGAAATAACAAAATCGAATCCTGTTATATCTTTTCAAACCCGCTATGGGCCATCATGTTGGTGTAGCACATGTGATCCATTGAAGAACACACAGTATGTTGGTATCTGTTTTCAAGCTAGGAAGAGTATTACATTTTCCCCATTAAGTGTGGTTATGTTTGTTCCTTAAATTTGAGTAAAAAATAATTCTTATTTTTTTTGATGCTACTAAATGTAGGCTTTATGTTAGACTTATTGTTTCATCATTGAAAGGTATTTTTACTTTTTAAAAATCTTGTTGCAAAGAGGTTTAAAAAGTAATGTTCATTTTTGTATCAGTTTCAGCCAAATGTTGATATTAAAGTCTTGTATTCTTTTTAAAAATTTTTACCTCTAGATGTGACACCTTAAGATAAAAGCCATTTATTCAACTTAAACAAAAAATTACCTTTTTTTTTTTTTTGAGATGGAGCCTTGCTCTGTCACCCAGGGTGGAGTGCAGTGGCGCTATCTTGGCTTATTGCAACCTCTATCTCCTGAGTTCAAGCAATTCTCCTACCTCAGCCTCCCCAGTAGCTGGGATTACAGGTGTCTGCCACCATGCTCAGCTAATTTTATTTTATTATTATTATTTTTTTAGATGGAATTTCACTCTTGTCGCCCAGGCTAGACTGCAATGGTGCGGTCTCAGCTCACTGCAACCCCCACCTCCTGGGTTCAAGTGATTCTCCTGCCTCAGCCTCCTGAGTAGCTGGGATTACAGGTGTCTGCCACCACGCCCAGCTAATTTTATTTTATTATTATTTTTTTAGATGGAGTTTCACTCTTGTCGCCCAGGCTGGAGTGCAATGGCATGATCTCGGCTCACTGCAACCCCCATCTCCTGGGTTCAAGTGATTCTCCTCTCTCAGCCTCCTAAGTAGCTGGAATTACAGGTGTCTGCCACCACGCTCAGTTAATTTTTGTACTTTTAGTAGAGATGTGGTTTCACCATATTGGCCAGGCTGGTCTTGAACTCCTGACCTCAGCCTCCCAAAGTGCTGGGATTACCGGTGTGAACCACCGTGCGTGGCCTATTTTGTTTTTGAGATGGAGTCTTGCTTTGTCACTTATGCTGGAGTGCAGTGGCATGATCTCAGCTCATTGCAACCTCTGTCTCCTGGGTTCAAGTGATTCTCATGCCTCAGCCTCCCAAGTAGCTGGGATTACAGGCACCCACCACCATGCTAGGTTAATTTTTGTACTTTTAGTTAGAGACAGTTTCACCATGTGGTCAGGCTGCTCTTGAACTCCTGACCTCAGGTGATCCACCTATCTTGGCCTCCCAAAGTGTTGGGATTACAGGCCTGAGCCATTGAACCAGCCATTTTTTGGTTGTATTTTTTTAGTAGAGATGGGGTTTCATCATGTTGGCCAGATTGGTCTCGAACTCCTGACCTCAAGTTATACACCCACCTCAGCCTCCCAAATCACATTGGTTTTCCAGTTGAATTTCTACTTTATCTTGGTTTAGATTTTATAGATAGGTCAGTAATGTTAATACCTTCCTTGTTCCTTTTTATAACATGAAGTTTTTCAGATTTCATTTCTATTTTAGTTTAAATCTAAGCTTATATTAATTTTTATTCACGATTCATTATGATAAGTAGGCCTACTTTGTTCTTCTTTAAGTTATATGCAGTATATTTTGCCTTAATCATGGAGCGTTAAACATTTGAAATGATATAGTATAGGGAATCTAGGGAGTGCCCTGGAGGGGTATGGATTTGTTATTTGAGATGAAAATACTGATATGGAAAAAGGATAGTCTTCTGTGTTGATTAACTGTGTATCCTGTCTTTATGGTCCACCCTTATTGTGAACTTGAATTTATAGCAGGTGGCAAAATTCTATACCTTGATTTGAATATTTTATTTTAGCTTCTTTAGAAGTGTATCTCCCTTCCTCAGTTTCTTGAAAACTGCCCAGAGATCATTTGGTCTCAAGTGTCTATACTCCACTTTTCTGGAATTAATAGAAGGATGGTGAAATAACCATTTTCTGGATTTTGATTTTTAGAGGCAGATTGAAGAAAGTTATATATAAAACACTGATGAGCTCATAAAAACTGTATCATGCATGTTTCTTTGTCATTCAGTTTGCTGTTGTTTGTTATTCCTTTCTAGGAAATACATTCTATAGGCCTCTATGGAAATTAAGTTGAAATAAATTTGGATAATTGGGCTTTAATGCAAATTTTATGCATAGCATTTAATTTGATAACATTTTGTTTTATTCTATGATTAAAAAATCTATATATGTGTTTTGAAGTTATATATGTTGAAGTGAACATTCTCCATTTTCCAGTTCTCACTGTTAATAGAAAAATGTATATCTTTCAAAAACAACAAAAAAGCCGTAATATAATAATGCTCTGAAAGTTGCTATTGCTATTTTCCTTTAATATATTGCAGAAAATTATGTCTGTATATACAAATCTACCTCATTCTTTTGATAGTTGTATTATACTCCATTGCCAGAATTCTTTCAGTTATAAGTGACAGAAACTCAACTGAGAAAGGCTTTATGAGTGTGGTTGATTCCTGGAACTAAACATCTAAGGATGAGAGCTTGATTACATTTCTTTTATAAGGTTTCTTGACAGTATGAGTTCCCCCCCGCCCCCCTTGTCACCCTTGTCACGCCTCACTCTGTCACCCAGGCTGGAATGCAATGGTGTGATCTTGGCTCACTGCAACTGCTGTCTCCCAGGTTCAAGCAATCCTCCTGCTTCAGCCTCCTGAGTGGCTGGGACTACAGGTGCATGCCACCACACCTGGCTAATTTTTGTATTTTTCAGTAGAGATGGGGTTTTGCCATGTTGGCCAGGCTGGTCTTGAACTCCTGACCTCAGGTGATCCACCCACCTTGGCCTCCCAAAGTGCTGGGATTACAGGTGTGAGCCACCATGACCAGCCAGTATGAGTTCTTTCATGTAGTTAAAGAGAACAAGGAAGAGTGAATACTTTACCACATTTCTTATGCACACTGGGTTTTCCTCCAGTGTGAATACTTTAATGTCTGCTAGGAGAACATGGAAAGGCAAATGCTTTCCTATATTCCCTACATTCATAGAGTTTCTCTCTAGTGAGTTGTTTCATGATTATGCAGGTGACTAGAATGAGTGAAGCCTTAACCACATTTCTTATATTGTATGGTTTCACACCAGTGTGAATTCTTTTATGGTTATGGAGGGAACTGGAATATCTGAAGGCTTTATCACATTGATTCCATTCATATAGTTTCTCCCTAGTATGAGTTTAATTATGATTATGAGGGTGGCTGGAATAAGCAAAGCCTTAACACATTCCTTATATTGATAGGGTTTTGCTACAGTATGAGATCTTTCATGGTTATAACGGGAACGGAAATATCTGAAGGCCTTACTACATTTCTTGCACTTATAGAATTTTTCTCCAGTATGAATACTTTCGTATATTTAAGAGAGAAAGGAAAAATGGATCTTTTCCTACATTCCCTATATTTATAGGGTCTTTTGCCAGTGCGAATTCTTTCACATATTTGACAGGACCTGGAAGAACTGAAGGCTTCCCACATTGATTGTATTTACAGGAGTTCTCTTCAGTGTGAGTTCTCTAATGGATTTGCAACTTTTTAAGTCTCCGTTCATGGTCTGTTTCCCCAATGATAGTGTACAAATACTGGTTGTAGATGTGTGGTGTTGCCTCCAAGGCCTCTGTTCTGTTCCATTGGTCTATGTCTCTGTTTTGGTCCCAGTACCATGCTGTTTTGATTACTGTAGCCTTGTACTATAGTGTGAAGTCAGGTAGCATGATGCCTCCAGATTTGTTCTTTTTGCTTAGAATTGACTTGGCTATGTGGGCTCTCTTTTGGTTCCATATGAAGTTTAAAGTGTTTTTTCCAGTTCTGTGAAGAGGGTCATAGGTAGCTTGCTGGGGATAGCAATAATCTATAGATTACTTTGGGCAGTATGGCCATTTTCATGACATTAATTCTTCCTAACCACGAGCATGGAATGTTTTCCCATCTGTTTGTGTCCTCTCTTATTTTGTTGAGCAGTGGTGTGTTATTCTCCTTGAAGAGG